ACGACCTTTCACGATTCTCAGATTCTCACTGTCGCGCGTAATCACGAGTCGGCGATGCTTCGAAGGCTGTCGAAGGTCGAGACGACGGGGTGGTAAAAGGCTACGTCTATTATGAGCTGACTTCGCTTTTCCGGCCGCGATCGATAGTCCTCGGGGTGCCTGCTGCCACCGGCGATGCTTCGTGGCCTACAAAATTTCGCCTCGATATCGTAATGCTCGTCTCTATGGTGGATCGTGCGTCGCCTTCGTGACCGTGAAACGCGATACCCGTAGAGGCGTGTCTCGCAGACGTGTTTTTCCCGTTTCCCGATTTTTCTCCCCCTTTTTTATCGTCACTCTTCAGTCTTTCTTACGCGCGTGGTGTAGCCAACGTGGCAACAAATAAATGTCTCAGTATCCGGTACGTTCTCTACCTACACGCTCGTGCCGGAGGGTCGCGCACTCTCGAGCTCGTGTCTAAAGTCGTACGCGCGCGGAGGAGTTCGAAGCGGATCCACGTAGTTGGAAGAACCGCCTGACGAGGAAGAGTGCGAAGAGGTGAGGAGAGGCGAGAAAGGGGAGGCTGAAATAGAGAGAAGGATCAGGGAGAGAAAGAGAGAGAGATGAGAACGCGCGCGGTCCTCGCTTCGACGGGATGGGAATAAGGAGGAGTTTATTTTCGGCGGCCATATGCGCCGGTTATTTCGACAGTTTGCGCGGCCACCCTAAATAGAGGCTGCGGCCTCTCGTCTTCTTCGAGGAAGACGTTCCTCGGCTTGACGTTCTATCCCGACGTGATCGCGTCGGGTGTCTATCGATTTTCCCCGCGCGTGGATTCCAAACGCGTTTGAATTCTCGGTGAATCACGCGACTTAACAAGATACGCTTATGAATCATCTTTGGGTTACGGGGTAGAATGAAACGCGGATATCGTGTGAGCGCGCTGAAATATCTGAAATATTCATGCGAATTCAATGAGCTTGGCTATCATTGTAAGTTCGATCGTGTGTATTATTTCAGCGCTTGCCTCCGAATTAATGTGTATTTCCAGTTTGACACATTAAATCATTAAAATAAGATATTCCCGGTACCGTTAATCAAATTGGCGCATATATATTTTCGACCGGCTAATATCATTTTCGCGCGGATGTAAATTTCCTCTAATTGAATCTCACTGTTGAGTAGGTGAGTGTATTTTAATGTTGCGCAATTTCGTGCTCTTTCTCTCTCTCTCTCTCTCTCGCCGAGAAAGGGCGACCAACCGGTCGGCGGTCCCAGCGTTGAAACGGAAATGAGAATCGACTAATCACCCTCACGACCGCTCCACCATCACCGCGCGACGCGCTTCCAGCGAAGCGTCGTCGTATTTTCGATTTTGAGAATGGCTCATGCGCATACACGCATACACACGCGAGATAGAGATCTCGGCTTCCCGAAATAGATTATCGCCGGCGTGCGTGAGGCTTCGCCCATTCTCCATTCGCTAAGTATAGCTCGCGACAAGCCGAGAGAAAGAAACCGGGCGCGTCGTTCCGGGCGCGCGTTGGTCGGAAGCGTGTCGTTGGACAGAATCGGAAGAGCGAGCGAGAGAAAGAACTGAAGGGAGAACGCTCGTTCGAGAGCAAGAGAGAGCGGACAGGCAAGAAGACGGCATAAACGTATAATTGGCCGCACTTAAATCTCTATAACGCGGTAGTAAAAATGCGCGGTACGCCGCGTAAATCAACACGCGGACGATATAGCCTCTCTACCCCCGCCGTCGTCGCCGCCTGTTTCGCCGAGAGCGCGTCCTCGTAAACGCGTCATAGAGGGCACGTGAATACACGTGTGAATGAACGCGGCGTGCGCGTACGAAATTTCCGCGCCACGCAACCGCGGCGCACGCTTCGACCGCGAAACGGTCCGCGCGGAGATCCGTGGACGGCATTCGTCATTTTCTGGACTGAGGGGAGATCAATGGGACCAGCGTCGATATCGATGCGGGTTGCCGTACTCATTGATCGCAGCTCCGTGCGGTTCCGCATTGCGGTAGAGAATAGCCGAGGTAATTTTCTCGTTGGTTTTCGGAAGGTAATCGTTGAATGAACAAAGCAGCACGACACACGCGGTATAATAATAATACCGTTTCGAATGGGAATACATATTCTCGGATTCTGTCTGCCTCGCGCTCAAGGTGCTCACGCGCAAATGCGGAGGAGCGTGTCTCGAGACAGAACGGAACTCGGCGTGGGCTGTCGATCACGATCCTGATCCCGTGACGTGAGCGCGCGCGCGCACTCGATTGCGACGACGAGAAACGACATTACATTATCGATGACAGCCTGTGGGCGGATGATCGCGCGTGAAATACCAGTGCGGCTGGATTACATGTGTGCATCGACGTACCGGCGAGTATCTGAAGTCAAATAAGATTTTAACGACCTGTCACGCCGAGGATCGTGTTGTACATTTCGAATGAATTATCGCGATCGTAATACGATATCTTTCCCTCTCCCGACCGCGGTCCGCGCGCGGTTATCTCTTACGCGCCGGCTCGATAAATTACGATATTTTTTTCGAGGTGTTTCGGGGAACTCGCTCCAATTACAGTTCCCCCGACTCGTAATTTTTTCACTTTCAAAGATAGAGGGAGAGGAAGATTGGTGGACTGTAATGACGTAAATGCGTTCGTCACAGTCAAGTTAATCGTGTAAAGGAAAAGGCAAAAAAATTTGCGGGCGATTAGGAAGAAATCGCGTCGGGCAGCCACGACTAACGATACTCTGACGAAGGAGAACGTTTTCCTTCTCCGGGACACCGATACGTCGTCCGTACGGGATCGCGTGGCACGGCGCAGCACGGTACGGCCGGTACGCTACATTAACCCGATTCAGCGAGTAAATTAACTGCAATCAGAGGGACGTTCCCGTTAGCCATTCCGTTATTCCGCTAGCCACCCGCCGTTCGTTCTATGAGCTCGCAGGCCGCCCTATTCGACTTTGCGGCCGCGCCATTAACGGGCTCCCCGACTCGCAGAGAGGGTAAACGTCTAACGTCGTTTTTGTCGTATGTGCAACGACCGCCGGTCGACCGGGTATTACGCGCCACGGACGGAAAACACGCCAACGCGGAAAAAAATCGGGTAGCGACCCTCGTGAAATTAGTCGAATGATGTCGTAACACGGTAGCATAGTTTCGGTGTCTCTCTCTCCCTCTCTCTCTCTCTCTCTCTCGACGTTGTGGAAAGTTATTTTTGTTATATTGTGATAACACAGTTCTCCTGTTCAGTGATACTTGACGCAGCGTTAAAATTCCGCCTCTCGGCTCGGTTCGTAACGTCGTTGATCGCCATTACCAGCGCGGTTGGCATCGACTGCCGATTCCTCGGGAAATCGCGCCTCGTAGAATTTGTCGGATCACCGGCCGAATCGCGTCACGACGCGATGAATGCCCATCAGGCTGGGATATCGCAGTCGAGGCGAGGCGCCTTTTCTCGTTTTCTCTCCCCCGGAGCGTTTCGGGAAAGCGGCACACGTGAGAATACGTCGTACGTGGCACCGATTTCCATCGATCTCCCGTCGTTCCGGTCCGTCCGCTCCTACGACGGACAAATTTTTCGTTCTACCCGCCCTCTTCGCGTCCGCCCGCCCGACGTCGACGACGACGACGGTCCGCTCGACGAATTCAAAGTTAATCTCGGGCACGAGACCGTTCTCTGGCGAGAAAGAGAGAGAGATTGTGACGGGGGGTTGCGAGAGGAAGAGGGGTGGGTCGGCGCCCCCGGGCGACCTGTCATCGTGAACCCCCTGGGAGAGCGCCGGGCTCACCCTGATCTCTCTGTTACGATAGAACCTTGGGAACCGGAGCCTCGGGCACCACGATAAGGCTCGGTCATTTATAATCCGCCGGCGTAAGTAGCCCTCCGCTCTCCTTTCTGGCTGATTGCGAGGAGAAGGAATAAAGGGAACTTCGAACTTCCGGAGCCCGGGCTCGTCCGGGAGATTGATTCGCCGGGACATCACGGGAATTCCGACGAAATTGCATTTTATTCCATAATCGCGTATCCGGACCCGTCGCGGTGACACGGTAACGATCGTGACCGCTGTAATCGCGCACACGTACTATTACGTTTTACCGATGAAAATGCACAGTAGTGAAATATTGAAACACACATCACGTTTTATAATGGATTATACGTATAAAAGGTGAGATTTTGTATGCTTTGTTCCTCTGCGATATACAATAACAAGTGTCTTGTACCACGTTGGAAAATATAAAAAGAAAGAAATGACATCGACGTGTCCGGAGAGCACAACTAAAAGCGTCTTAATATCTTTCATTACTGTCTCGTTCCTCGGGTCCCTGGTGACCGCGCAATTAAAAAGCTAAGATTGATAGATGACGGGGATTTAATGCACGGAGTGTGACGGCGAGGTGGGGTGGAGGCAAGGAGACGGGGGTACCCAGTCGAGCCGAGAACGAAGCGTGCACGGGGTCCGCCGGGTCGAAGGGGGCCGGGTGATTGCGGGTGGCTTAATGGTGTTTGTATGCATGGGAACCAGCCCTAGGGTCGAGGTAGTTATCGCCCACCAGGGTATGGACCGAAAATCGGAGCGCGGTTTAAACGCGTCGGGAATCCAACTTCGACGTTTGAGCTGCCTCGCGATTTATCGTAAATCGAGAAAAACCACGATTCCTCCGGACTTCTCGTACTGAAAATCAAGGAAATATTCAGAATCGTCATATTCATACTTACATCTCATACTCAATATCAAGGAGAAAATTACGCGAAATGATATTCTTTAATGTTTAATTTAACGATAATATGCGAGGGTCTTAAATATTATTGTCTAAAAGTTACTATCGATAATATCTAACGCTGAAGAATGACGTCAATGTATTCATCTGGCATGACTTTTTTTTTCAAGTCAGTTATGACTTACAAAGAGAGAAAGAAAAGAGCATCGCGAGTTGTGCCATGGACTCGCATTGTTTACCGAGGCGGCACGTGATGACCTCTGGCTCTCTCCTTATTGTTGCAGGTGACGCGAGTAACGCGAGTATCGGTAGTGGCGAGGGCACGGGCGAGGAGGACGATGATTCGTCGGGCAAGAAGAACCAAAAGAAGCGCGGAATCTTTCCCAAGGTCGCGACCAACATCCTCAGGGCGTGGCTGTTCCAGCATCTCACGGTGAGTACCTTCTTCATCATACAGCACGTCGACGGTATTCCCCTGTCTTCGAGACGCGTCGCCGCATCGCAATCGTCGCTCGTCGCATGTATCTCTTGCGTTTTCACATTACCTTCGCATTACGTCGCACATCGATCCCGTTCTGATCTCTCTCGTTCGAGCTTGCGGAGAAGCGGAGTTTCCGCTTCTCCCCTTGACGTGCACGCGTCAGTATCAAAGTCCGCGGGCAATTAGCGAAAAAGGCACGCTCCGTCGAACAAAGGAAGGACGTTTGAAAAAGATCGGGAAGCAAGACAGAGTGAGAAACGGCGGCTGGCTAATCTCGTAATGCCGAGATAAGGAAAGATCCGACGTAGCTACGAATGGTGGTAGTAGTGGCGGCTCTCGATTCCGCCGCCCGGTGCCCGAGTATCTAATGATTCACGGGTAATCTGAGCCGCAAAAAGCGCAACGCGATTAAGGGGGAGAAACGGCAGCAGCCGCCGAATCCCGGCGTCGGCGGTCGCCGCAGTTGCGTAACGTTGCGCGGCTATTCCGAGCACGATACATTGTCCCTCGCTCTCTGCAAAGTCTCTCATCCTCTCTCTCTTGCTTTCCGTCTTTATCTCTCTCCCTCTCTCTATCACGCTCGCACTACGAACACCCCATAGATTTCGGGTGTGATCAGGTTACCTTGCGCGAGAGCGGTAATCATATTGCAGCTCGGTTAATGCCATTACCGCACTGAGGGGGTTGGCAGCCACCCTCGAAACCACCCTGCAGCCACCTACCCACCGTTCTCCATCCCCCGACGCCGTTACCCCCGCGCTGTATCGCGGCTTCAGCAACCCCCTAACAACGTGTATTGGATATGACGTCGGGGATAGTGGGTTCATGGTTTAATGCATATACGCTGTTTGCAGGATGACGATACCGCGCGCGCCCGTGCGTTCGCGCTCGTAGAAAGACGAGGCCGCGGTCGGCGCTCCTCCTGCTCTCTCTCTCTCTCTCTCTCTCTCAGTTAATCGCGTCGTCGAGAGCTCTCGCGAGCGTTAACGGCCTCGTACATGGTGCCCAAGTTAAAAGGATTTTAGTGTAAACCGGCGGCGCATCGGGACTCGATGCGCCGTTGTCCCCCGACGACGCCCGGGCCGAGTTTCGATGTGTCTGTCGATTCGTTCGAAGTTTGTCTCGATGTACGTACGGTCGAGCCCGGGGAGTTTCGGCGCGATAATCCCCCGGCGCGCCTTGCGCTCGTTAACCCTCCGCACGTACGTATCTATCAAGCCGCGTTTGCGTCTCGCTGGTCTCCTTCTCGCACACGACGACTCTCCCGAATTATTTATACGGAGGTGTATCATTTCGAAACTCCGCAGTCGTTTAAATTTCCGACGCGTCGAGAAATCGATCGGCTGAGACACAACGAAGTAGCCACGAACCACGGTACGTATGTACCTTTCTCGTTTCGCATATTTGAAGTTGATTTTAATAAAAAGACAGAGAAACGCGCGAGCTCAAAGCGTAATGACGAAAAAACGGTCCGGAGCTGAGACGCGCGAGGACTCGCGGCGTGCTCGTCTTCGACGAAAGGGGGAGAGAGAGAGGGCGATTATACGGTGCCCACCGCCAGAAATTACGGAGGTTTTTCGCGACAGTCGTCTCCTCGGCGAGCGCCGCATTCGTCTCGGCGTTATTACGAGCGATTAAGCGACTCTACCGCGGCCCGGAATTCATTCGGTGCGCTGGATACATATTACACCTCAAAGGGAGTAACTGGCGCGAGTCCCGACCGTGTATTTACCCGAGTGCCAAGGTCTTTAAGTTCCCTCCGCTTCTTTCCTTTTCTTCACGTCGGACGAATTACGACTCCGCGATTCTCCGTTTAATGTCCTAATTTCCTGCCGCTTTTCTCGACGAGGAACCTACGGAGACCGCGACAAAATCTTCACGATCTCGCGGGGTGGGGTCGATAACTCGTCTTCGTCTCGAATTTAAATATATGTGTCTATCTCAGACGCGTAATCGTCGGCGCACCGACAATCCGGCGGTTTGCGGAAAATTATGACACACCCGGCGAAGTTCCTCGACGGTGCTTGCCGGTCGAGGTTCGCGGACAGTAGCAAGTATCCGCCATAAATTCGTTGTGTCCGACGCGAATACGCCGATCGTCGCTCATTCCCGCTTTCGTCGTATGCCGCGCATTGCCGTCGGGAATTCCAGATCGTGTGTTCGGCACATCGGCCGTGCCGAACCGTCGTTTAACCTCGTCGCAACATGAAACATTCGGAATCGCGACGTCTCGCGCCAAGGAATTCGTTGGGGTGCGCCAATGGTCTGTCCCACTTCGTAGCAGCTAGTCCGCATTGACACGGTAGACGGGAAGCAGCCGAGCGCACCGCGGCACGCTTGAATAGACATAGTTTATGTATACACATAGTTTAGTTAGAGTGGCGGAGGGGTGGAGGGGAAGTCGACGGAGGGAAATAAGTAGCGCTGAATGGAAAAGCGAATACCGGCGAGCGCGCGGCGTTAAAACGTGTGGACTGAAAAGGAAACTGGCGAGGAAGAAGGAGAGGAAGAGATAGAAGATGCTGGGATGGTGTATAAATAACGGGATAAAATTGCGAAAGCAGTTTTGTGTTAAGAAATTTATAACGATTTCTACACAGTGTGATACATTTTGCAATATATAATTTCGACGGGGAAATGCAATTTCGTTGGGATTGCCGAGTGGACAAAGACGCGTCGCGAGAAAAGTATAGAAGGATAGAACGGGTTGTGTGTAGACGGCAACGCCTCGTCTATTCAATGCGGCTTCGATATGAATTGGAGATTCGAGAGGAATGAATAAGGACGAGTGACCGCGCGCGTCCAAGTGCAGCGTGTAATATTATATCGTGAGGCGCGGTTTTCGAGTGAAGGAGCGCGATTGACTGAGTGATTGTTCTCGACTCGGGTTACCCGCAAACATCGAAGGGGGGCTATTAATATAATTGCTCAATTCTTTCTCCCCGATCGCGCGCACTTCCTTATCCGCGATATATCTACGGGCTTGCGGGCGCGCCGGTCATTATTAATCAACTTAGATATTAGGGAATTTGCGGGAGGAAACGGATGTGATTGGCCGAGAAGATCATCTACTATTGTTCGCGCTCTTGCAGGCCTGTCTCGAGTCATAATTTACGTAGGCAGATAGCGACGTGATAAGTGACGCGAAAAGTCGAATAGTGACCTTTAGGCCGGCACTGTGAAAGATATACCTCCGTCACGAACGAGAGCATTTATTACCATCTTAAGACGGATAAGAGCGGTTGGGAAAAGGGAAAACAGTACCGCTCTGAAAGAGTTGACGTATCGCGCAAAGCGAAGTTCTCGATGTATACAGGGTGGCGTGGTGCAACTGGAGATTAATGGAATTTCCTAAAAGCGAGTTTATGTATTCGTTGGCGTGGATCCCCGCGCGAGCTCGCGTGTTTTGCAGCGTGTTTCGCTGACTCGGCGATATTTTCGAAAATCGCGACGCTTGCCAATGCAGGACGAAACTTTCGTACGGCACGAACGTCCGACGAAGGCCGTCGTCTTCGTTTCTTTTTTTCACTAGCGAATTGTTTATCGCCGCGTATGAATAATGTAACAGAAGTTAAGTGCATCGAGTCTCCCGGGAGGAAGTTGATGGTGATCCCACTCGCTATAAGTACCACCGCTTCATGCGCATTCGCGGAGAGACGCGGATCTTTCTTTTCGTCTTTCTCCCGCTCGATGGTGTCCATTCGAATGTTCTCTCTCTCTCTCTCTCTCTCTTTGTTTCTCTGTCTTTCTTTCCCTTCCTCGCTCTCTCTCCAGTTGTCATTTTGAAAGCCATCCGCCGACCGCCCCTCGCTGTCAGTCCGACCGTACGTACGTACGTCCGTTCGTACAACCGGCGCACCAACCAACCAACCAACTCTGCGACCCTCCCCAAGTTTAATTAGACGGAAGAGGAGCATACATCATGGTCGACTCCGTGTCCCGACCTTCCCCGGACGGCGCAGTTGGGCTTTCCAGAATTGTGGGTACCGACCTAGTACTTCTCCCTCGTCGTCCTTTCTCATGTACACCTTCGAGGTTGACGTTATATAGTGCATCTGCCGGTGTGGAGTTTCGTGAAACGCTCAGTACGGTGTTTTTTTTTTTTTTTTTCAAAAGAATCAAGATCTTTTTTCTACACACACGCGGATCGGCTTGTGAAGTTCAAATCGCGAGTACAGACTGACCTGCGGGAGATTCCTGGGGATTTCATTTTGATGAATTATAACGTGATATTCATTTTACGCCGTTCGTGAGAATAACCATGTGGAGGGAATTCGCGACATTTGATTTTTCGGCTAGGAAAATATAGTCATCTCGCAAATTTTTTCTCCACACAGATTTTGAATATTTCTCTATTTCTTAATATTTTGAGGTATCTCTTCTTACGCATTAAATTACGCGTGATAAATATTATCAGTCAACGGGCGTATGCGTCACGAGCAGACTGGAGAATGCGGCAGAGAAGAGAAGTAAGATTGAAGGTAGGGTCCACATATATAATCCATTTTAATTTACTCAGGAGATGTATCCGTCTAGCTCGCAGTTTCTCGCTCTTCCTTTTGCACTCTCTCTCTCTCTCTCTCTCTCTTTCTCTCTCTCTCTTTCTCTCTCTCTCTCTGCCATTCCTTCCGTTTCAATTTGATACTTCCGCTTTATCCCACTGCCTTACCGTCCTTGCTGTCACTCCCACTACTCTTTCGTTCCTCGCCCGTAACTTCATTCTGATACACCGTAGTTTTCTTATAGAAGAGAAAACATTCTACGAAATTACATTTGGCAGCTTTCCACTGTATAACAACATTGTTTCGCGTATTGAGTGCCCGACACGAAGCAATTGTTCTTTTACGTAAGATTAGGTAGAACACGCCGGTATATGAAATCAAAATTGTAGATTTAATAATCTTATTGGAAGCCGAAGTATCTTGCGGTATCCGATTATCTGACTTTTAACG